AAAAAAAAAAAAAAAACACTAAAGAAATACGCGAAAGGTGAAAAAAGAAATAGGTAACACGAAAGTAACGGTGGCAGCCGCAGAAACATAAATTTTAAAGAGAATTTTAATATACTCTTTTTCATTCTGTGTCTGTGTGGATATATATGTATATATGTGTGTGTGTCTGTGGAAAGAGAAGAGGGAGCAGACCCCGACATGTGTACGAAAATAAGTTGAAAAATAAAGGAAGGTAAAAAGTGAAAAAAAAAAAAAAAAGAAAAAAGTGGAGAATAAGAAATAAAAGAATTGGAGAAAAACACTAATAAATAAGTTTTCCATTCTCCATATATGTGAGTGGATGAGAGGAAAGTAACTAACAGCAGAAAGGGATAAGGTGAAAAAAGAGGTAAGTACACATAGAAACATACGAATATATATATTGAAATATAGATCTCTCTTTGTGTACTCAAAGCTTGGCATATTTGCTAGGAGCGTACAGGTGGGAAGATAAATATTCATTTTTATCCTTGCCATTTCATCTCTTCCAAATCTGTAATTCTTTTTTTTCTGTATTCTCTTTCTTTTTTTTTTTTTTATGGTTTAAATGATGGTAAATAGGTCTTTCTCTCTGTGTGTGAATGTATTGGTGCTTGTTGGGAATGCGTATGAAAGATCAAGTCTTTTTGAAAGCACCAGGCGGCACACCATGTGAGGTACAGAGGTTAGAGTAAGGTGAGAATGAAAAAAAGAGAAAACAAAGTAAGTCGTAAAGTAAATTTATTAAAAGTGGATTTGGCTGTGAAACTCGCACATAAAGATTCATACATGCATGTGTACTCGGTGTTTGTATTTGTATGTATCTGTGCACCAGCCTCTCCATATTTGGATAAGTTGTTGTAAATACTATTGTGCTCACTTCATTTTGGGCACACTCTGTTTGGTGTGCACTTAAAATGGTAGGAGAGGGATATTGACTGGTTTGTAATGTTATTTGTATTACACTGCATAAATACTCTATCCTCGCTATCATATAATTTCTCTCTTTCTCTCACTTTTGTAAACCGATGTTATTGCCTAATGCATCATTATGTGTTTGGAAAACCAATAGAGGTAAAGGACGAAGCATTTGAAAAGCAAGAAAAAAAAATAGAAGATAAAAAAGAGAAAAAAAAAAAGAACCGATAAGTAAAAAAGAACAGTAGACATAATCTCCAGACCCTAATTAATCATGTTCTTGGGATTTAGCTCCTTCAGTGAGGCTGGTGTGTACTTTACATGCATTCTTCTCGGTATTGCGATGCTTATGCCGATGAACGCCGTTACTTCAGCCCCGCGGTTTATGGTGGATTACTACAAGTATGTCTCACGGGATGAGTTTGCCGTTCCTGAAAAACCCGTATTCTGGGCGAACATCCTTACTTTCTATAATATCATGTCTGTCACCTTTCAGGTGCTTGCTGGACCATTTGTGTTGACGCCTTGGATGCGGCGTCTCTCACTGACCACACGGTTTGTGATTGCCGTTATTCCAATGATGGTGGAACTCATCGTTGTGGTGACACTTCCCGTGCGGGGAACTTCACAAACGGCGGCGATGGTGGCATTTCTTATCGTGGCGGCCGGTGCGGGTGCGGGTAAGGCCACCTTTGAGGTGACCTGCTATGCCTTGGTGAGTTCTATGCCGCCCAAGTTCATGTCTGCCGTGATGTTTGGCTGCGCCTTTTCGGGTGTCACGGCATCTACACTTCAGTGCATTATTAAAGCATCTATGCCGGACACATATGAGTCCGCACTCCAACAGTCGCACATTTATTTTTCACTTGCACTTGTCATTATGGCGTTGTCGATTTTGTTAAGTGTATTACTTCGATACAACTCGTTTGCACAGGATCATGTGGGTGAATACCGTATGCTGCGCCGCAAGCGGAACGCTCCTGCGGAGGCGGATGATAACGGCCCTACCGCTCCAGATAATAATGCGTTAACAATGGTAGTTGCTCCCGATGAAGAAGGAAACACGACACCCGATAAGGACCTTCAACAGAAGAGTGATGAGGAAGATAATAAGGATAAGTTAACAAATTCTGATGAAGAGTGTCGTGTACATGCAACTGAAATGACAACATCTGAACAACTTCGGTCCACTACTATTAAACCTATTCTACGTCTTATTTATCCTATGCAAGTGGCCTGCTTCTGCATCTTTTTTCTTTCACTGTTCATCTTTCCCAGCCTTGTGATTCCCATTGATCGTACGGATAACTGGTTCGCTACCATCGCCATTTTACTATACAACTGCGGTGATGCCACGGGTCGTTTTTCCACTTCATTCCGACGGTTCTGGCCTGCGCGGTTTGTTGTGGTGATTGTATCATTCGTCCGTTTTCTCTTCCTGCCATTGATCTTCTTGTGTATCTACAAATATATTCCTGGACACGCTGCCCCGTATGTCTTTATGTTTTTCATTGGCCTAACGAAGGGATACTTTGGTGCTCTCTCCATGGTCCTTGGCCCCATCACACCCGGTTTGGTGACAGATGGACAGAAGGTGATGGCTGGGCAGTTGATGGGCGTTTCTCTTCTCGCCGGCGCATCCGCTGCGTCTATGCTTGCCCTTCTCGTGGTTATGTTCCTTCCGTAGAAGAGGAAGAGGTTTACGGGGAATGCAATGGTACTAGGGAAAAGAGGGATTGTGAAAAGATAAGAAAAAAGTTGATGTACAAGAGTAAAGGGAGTCACTTTATATTTCTATATTTCTATATTTCTGTTTTTTTTTTTTTAACTGAACTTTCTCTTTTTTTTTTGTTGTCACTGTTTCTGCCAGACATCATCACAGTGTACATCTTCAGGGGCATTTCAGAGAAGGTCGGGGAGAGGAAAAACAGAAGACACTTTTTCTTTCCGTACCTTTTCTTTTTTTTTCCTTTAATGGTGCAGTTGATAGACCACCTGATTATCCTTTTTTTCCTTTTTCGAAATATTCCCTGCCTTTTTTTTTTTCTATTATACTTCTATTATACTTCTATTATACTTCTGTGGTGACCATACTACATGTTTTGGTGGTCTTTTTTTTAGAACTCTGTAACTCTACGACCGTTTACTCCTTGAATTATCCTTTTTGTTTCTTTTATTACGTTGACATTGGGAAAGGCTTGTTGAAATGTGCCTTACCCCGTTGGGATAAGGGAAGAAATGGTACTGGTAAGGTAAAAGAGGTAAAAGTATACAAATGAGTAAAGAAATAAAAATAAATAATATATTGAACCCCCTCTAAGATGATACTCCTTTTTTTTGTCTTTTCTTTGAGTTTGGTCATTTTGGTAAATGTACCCATCAACATCCATAGAGGCATGTACAGCTCATGTTTGTTGACGTTTACAGCAAGTGTTCAGAAGTGGAGGTGAAATGATTCCATACAAACGAGTTCATCCAATGGGGTAATAGAGGAAAAAGTAAAATTCCCTTTGTAGTTGAGATTAATAAAATCCATTCATGCTGATTGTGTGTGTTTGTGTTTCTCTATGCTGAAAGAAGTTGTAAATACCCTTGTAGTGCCTTACGGTTCTGTTGAACTTATTTTTTTTTTCTTTTTTTCGCCTCTTCTCTCTCTCTCTCTCTCTCTCCCTCTCTCTGTATATATTTAGTTGCATTTCATTAATTGCCGCTGCAGGAAGGAGGAAAAAAAAAAGATAGCAACAACACGAGTGAAGGGAAAACAAAGAGGAATACACTATTATTGTATTATTACTTTGTACCTTTTCGTTTTCTATTGTCTCTCTAACGCAGTGGTAGACGAAAACGTCCGCTGAAGCGAAAGGGGATACCCAATTAAAAAAAGAAAAGAATTACGAGAGCGGGAAAAATAGAGAAAGAAATAGATAGTCGTTGCCGATTGATATTTTCACACCGTGTGAATGCTGCGTTTCTGCCAACCCCGACTTGCAAGTAAAGTCACGGCGGGTAATGCCAAGAACCAGGCGGGCCACCCACGCCGAAAGGCCAAATTATTCCACGTCATCCCAGGCACACCAGTCACTCCGCTGGAGAAACTGAAGGAGCAGCGGCGGCGCTACGGGCAGGACCGACACTCACGGCTGCCGGAGTACCGCCCCGGCAGAAATGTCCGCATGGACCCAAACACCTTCACACTGTACGCAACCACAAAGGGCGTTATGACTATTCGTGAGAGTCGCATCAACCCAGGGTACAAGTGGCTGGATGTTGAACCAGATATACAAAAAGTGTATAGAAGTCGTGAAATGCGAAAAGCACTGATGTCAAGGGAGATGACAACTAGTATGGTTAGTTTAAATTCACATTACAAGACTGAGTTGGATCTTTTACATGAACCAAAGTGGCGTGAGCGTGTGATGCGTGTACCGAAGGCGACAGAACGGTTTAAAGATCCTAATTTATTTGTGCGTGGTGTCATTACAGAACTTGACCCTATGGATAGGTATTGTTATGAGTGATTGGAGTGTATGAATGAAGGAAAACCAAGAAAGACATACTTTCTGAGTATATTTCGTTATTGCTATATCTCCGTTTCTATGATTTCTAAATAGAAACCCCTTTTTTTCATATTATGCTATAGGTATCCTTTTACTCAGTCTACCAATCTTGTTTGTTTCGCACACATTAGTTGCCAAGGTGCGGTTGTCTGTACTCCTCACTCACCCCACCCTGGATCTCACTTTTGCACTGTTTTTTTTTTTTATCGGTGGTGAACACCCTTTTTTTTTGGGGGGGGGGTGGGGGTTGGGTGTTTAGGACAATCATTCCCCCCCACCCAAAGAAAAAAAAAAAAAAAAACAATCCATTTTATCCTCTTATTAAATTAATGATGCGAAAGATGAATTTTGTGGACTCCCCACCCACTCATTTTTTTCTTGATAGTCTCTTGCAATTCTACTTCTAACCATAGTTTTTCAAACACTTTAGGGCTCATTTTCAGGCCTAAAAGAAGGGAAGCCATGTCTTCAGTACCAAGCTCAACCACAGCACCAAATTCAACCGAATCGTCTGCCGTAGATGAGGGTTCATCTTGGTTACCTGAATGGATGCCTATGTGGGGATTTATTGTAATAATTGTTTTTGTTATCCTTGCAGTAATTGCGGGAGTTGGATACCTTGTATTTTCGTTGTATCGACGAAAGCAAAATGAACGAGAGCTACTTGAACGTAAAAGATCAATGCAGCGTCGTTCGCTTTCCAGGCAATCCTCTTTCAGTAAAAATAATCAGTCAAGACCATCCTCTAGACAGCAGGGTAGGTCGAATTCTATTGCTTCATCCCGTGGTTCCCAGAGTAATTTGCGACGCATGAATTCTAGTAATTTTAACAATGGTCCTGGATCAATGAATAATGCTAACATGATGCAACAACAAACACCCGCCGGGAATCCATATGCGCCGCAGCAACAAATACAACAGGGAGGGGTTGGTGGTCCTGGTGGAATGACAAGACAACCCTCTTTTGGTGGACGTGGAGGAATGACAAGACAACCCTCTTTTGGTGGTCGTGGAGGAATGCCAAATCAACAACAGCCAATGAATCCTGGTGGAATGACAAGACAGCCCTCTTTCGGTGGACGTGGAGGAATGCCAAATCAACAACAGCAAATGAATCCTGGTGGAATGACAAGACAGCCCTCTTT